ATGGATTTCCCGTTTATTAATGGCATTCAAAAGACCAACATTAGAATTACTAGGGATTCCCCCGAAAGCCCGTGTGCTGTTGAGCCTGATGGCATCGATCATGGATTTCTCATACACATAACCAATTTACACCGATGGTTCAACCTATTCTATCCTTCTGGCGATCTTTTGGACATCAGCGACTACAGAGGCACTTTGGCCTTTTTGGAGCTTTTTGATGTATATGGGCCTCTCTTAAAAAAGAAGAAAGCCCGGGTTGAATCTGTTCTCCGCGAGTTCGGGACCAGAGCAGCTCATTGCTATTTGGTGAAAATCGAGCAGCAAAAAGGATACACAGATGCCGTTGTTGGTGCAAAAATGTTCGAAACATCAAGCTATGGGCCATATTACGAAGAAAACCCGGTGTATGAGCGATATTTAAGGAGACTCTATGACCGCAATAAAAGCTTTTACAAATCGCATGTAAAGGTGACTTCAAAGCTATCTCTCTTCGTTTCATCTCAGTTAAATGGATTCGCATCCCCTCAAAGCAACGACAACCAGCTGTCTTTTGTATTTGTTTCCGAAAAATGCTTTGTTGGTTGCATTAAAAATACGCTGCTTGCTGCATTTAACAAATGTTCGACATCTTATACCTCTGTCAATGCCATTGTATCAGAGGCCCAATGGAAAACTCTTGAACTTCAGGACCCATTTTTGTCTCAGTACTGCATGAAGGCAAGGAAGGATCCTCGCGAAAACTCGTTTGTTTTTAAAAAGGAATTTTGTAAGGATCCTCGCTTGCTTCAAAAATTTTTGAAAGAAAGGCCACCTGTTTGCTCAAATAGACCATATCTACCCGGAGTAGCCTCTGCACAATCTTCAGCCACATATTCCACCAATGTGCCGAAAAAATCGGTCGTCATCATCACAATGGATTTGTACTCTAATGTCGTTGTATTTTTAAATTCCATTCAAAGCACACCGCCCGAAAGCTTGCTAATTGATTTCCATGTTTTGGACGTCCCAAAGAATTTAAATTTTCTTTTGTGCCTATACACGCTCCCTGAGTTTGACAATGAAAAGTCTGCGATGAAATTGAGGTCTTTTGAGTTCTATTTGGTCGAGGACCAATCAACTGGAAAACTATCTTGCACCTCGCTAATGCTGTATGGCTACTTTAGTCAGATTCAATTTCTAAAAATTGCAAAGTCTTACACCTTGATAGACAAGCTATCTTTAAAGTCACATCCGCATTCTCATCTGATTTCATGGGTAGAATCCTCAATTCTTTCGCAAACGATCGAGTATACCGGCGATAGGGATATGAGCCACCTTTCTTTCGTTGTTCCGTCAACAGGGGCATATTTGTCAATGCTGTCTGCGCCTGAGCTTTTATCAAAGATTTGTTCTTATCTTCCAAAAACAAAGAGCTCCAAAGCATCTGAATCGCACATGCTTCATGTGCCAAAACGAATCGTCTTTGATGATGATCCACAGAGCATCGAAGTGGTGTACCTGCTGGGATGTAGCAACATTTCTTCTATGAACAATTCGAGCCCCAAATCTGGTCCTGATGTTAGGTCCCAATTGGCGTTTCAAATTCTCAAGGTGAACAAGTTAGACCCCAAAAGCGAAGATCTTTTCTTTTGCAAACTCTTTTTGCCAAATTTATTCCCTATTCCGTACATTAATTTTAATGACCAGGCCATTTTTGGGGACCAATATCCGTGTAAAGCAGCTGCTAGAACGAGCGCTGCTTTTCATAGCCTCAAGGCTCTCTATGAAAGCGGTGTTCTAGACTGCAACTTGCTTCCGAGTGCCGAGTTTTTGAAATCTATAAATCTTGAAAAGATGAAAAAACTTGCTCACGAGAACAAAACAGGAAAAAGTGGTGGTGATGCCATTGACCAGGGTTTGGACTATACTTCAACTCGTACCAGGGTCTATTATCCCATAAAGGTTCTGCTCAAGCCCACATACTCTTTTGAGAAAATATGGAAAATCCCCAGAATTCTGTCCATGGCCAGTTGGAAAGATAAACTTGACTTGTTCCCCAGTCAAACCAGTCACACCTTTTTCTTGTACGTGATGGATTTTGAGGATCAAAATCACATGGATATTATACAGAAACTTCGCCCAGGGTTTTCGTTCTTTAAAAAAGCCGAAAAGCGGCCAAACAGCGTGTTCCTGCAAGACTATAATGTCTTTAACACCGGAAATTTCAAGAACTCCTTTGGAATCCTTCTTCCTCATCAGATAAGCACTCCTTTCCCCGCGTTTGAAGTATATCTGTCTGCAGTTACGCCTTCTAGTAAAATGAAAGTCAATGGGCCACATTTGGTAACTTTTTCTGCAGAGCAGTTCAAGTCTATCGTTTCTTTCCAAATTGCACTATTTAAAGTTATGAATGGCTTCAAAAATAGCCTTTTGTTTGATTCAAGCCTATCCACAGAGAAGGACATAGATCAATACTTGAAATCTTACTTGTCGAGCCTTAAGGCAAATTCTCCGTCCCGAAATTGCTTTATTGAAGAGCCGCTTTTACAAATCGACTGTCTTGAAAAAATTTCGTACCTTGTGGTTCCGGTTACTCGAAACGCTGGTGATGAAATCCCGATTACTCCTGAAAGCTTATATGGCGCTTTTTTGCGATTTTTATCGGCCGAAAAAAAATTTCCACCCTGTCTGGAGAGCTGGAGAATCGACTGGCCATTATTAAGTTCTGGGTGTTCTTTTTTTTCTGGCACGAAACCTCAAATTTCACTATTGTCTTTTATTGATCAGCTGTCCGAGTTTTATTTCTCAAACGTACTTCGGCCCAAAGGATTTGAAAGACCCTCTTTTTCATCATCATCATCATCATCATCAGTGTTGACTCACCATATGTTTGATGATCCCGGATGTGTGGAGAACAATCTTGATAATTTTGTTTTCTTTTCGCTTCAAAAGATTACTGTGTATCACCGATATTCGGATATTGGATATAGAATTGAGAAGGTCAGATGTGATTTGAACCCTCTATCGATGATTGAAAAAAATGGAATATCAGTTGCAGAGTATTTAAAGGCCAGGTTTTCGGTGCAAGTTAAAGACTTGTCACAGCCGCTTGTGGAATGTGTTAAGATGGAAATTCCCAATTGTTGCAATTTTATGTCGTCCTCTAATTTTGTTCTGCAAAACAGCAACCTGGAGGGCAATCTTTCGCGTTCTTCGTATGAAGAACAATGTACATACTCTAAAACCGCTCTAGATATGGTCTCGGAAAAGTCTTCACTTATCCTGGGGAAGGCCATCATTCATATCGACAATGACAAGACCGTATATGATTGTGTAAATAATGTGTCATATTCATTGGCCTCCAACTTTTCGTTACAAAAAATCACCGCCACAAACTCTAGCAGCAGTAAGACGCTACATTCGCTGTTGGTTCCCGAACTGCTGAACATTTACCCCATCACTTCTGGCCATTATTTAATATCCTCCATTTTTCCTACATGGTTTTCCCAAGTTCAAAGGTGGCTATTGATGCTGGAGTTGTTTGAGGAAGGCAATATTTTCAATTCCGTCCCGTTAAAGCCAGATTTCACCCTATTTCTTCAAGCTTTAACAGCACCTATAAATCCGAATTCGGGCGAAGATGTGGATGATGATCTCTCGGTTTCCTGTGGTGCCGGATCGTTCGATTATGAGCGGTTGGAATTACTGGGCGATTCGATCCTAAAGTTTGCCGTCTCTTTGGATCTTTTTCTCGAATCCTCCACACATTTTCCTGGCCTTCCCTCAGAGGCAGACTTGACTAGAAAAAGAAGCGAACTCATTTGCAATGCAAATCTTTTCTCGCTTGGAATTTCGTTGCTTTCTTTACACAAATATGCAAATATTGCGGGCTTCTCGACGGTGAAAGCCTTTTTTCCTCCCCATATTTGCACGCTGATTGAAGCTCTGATTAAAAAAGACCCTTCGTTTTCATGTATTGTCCCCATCCGGCCTGTCTTTGACGAGTGTGTTTCTTGGCTTGATTTATCTTTACACGATGAGAATTCCAGGAAAAAAGATTTCTCGCCTGTTGATGAAATGCAGTTGGATAGCCTTTGCCTTGATGACTTGCATGCACTTTATTCTACCACCGCTCTTCGTCAGCTGGGTGTAAGATACTCAAACAAAGCCATCTCAGACATGATAGAGTCTCTTATTGGGGCATTTTATCTGTCTACGGGACTTTCAAATACATTTTCTTTTTTACAAAAGCTAGGATTGGTTCAAATTATCGGTTCTAACCTTACTCCCGATCATATGAAAGGCTACATCAATATGAATTTGAATAACATGGCAGAGCCGGCTGGTCTTTCTTTGTTTGAGAAAACAGAGGCCCGTCTATTTGATAAAATCAATTGCATTAACCAGATTTTTTCGTCTCCAGAGCTTTCGGCTTTGATTTACGTCTTTGATGACAAGCATGGGTTTCGATGTTCTTTTTCCAATACTCTCGATAGAATATCAACGAGCTTGAACTATCAATTTAAGGATCCCAGGTTGGCTCTTCTTGCAACGGTACATCCGTCTCTTTCAGCTGCCTTTAATTTTGAAAGACTGGAATTCCTTGGAGATGCCGTTTTGGATTTTGTTGTCACCAAATATTTTTATGAGAAATATCCAAACCTCAGGCCAAATGAGCTGACTCTTTTGAGATCCTCTTCCGTTGATAACGAGTCTTTTTCCAGAATGCTCTGTTTGCTACAGCTGCATGATGTCTTTTTTAATACCCAAAAAAATAACCTGCTTGCCGAGTCTGTAAAGGCATATGTGGACTATCTGCATTCAAATGATAAAGCATTCATTGATGACTACCGAACCTTCACTGGTGATCAAATTTCAAAGCCCACATCCCATGATTGCTCGGCGATCTTTTCTGCACCAAAGATCTTGTGCGATCTCTTCGAAAGCATTGCGGGCGCAATTTTTCTCGACTTGGGATGCGATCTTGATGGCTTCTGGAATATTTACAAGCATATCATTTCATTCTATTTGGATAGAAATTCAAAGCACAAGCAACTGGGTCTGAATCCAGTAAAGGATTTGATGGAGAGTGTTTTGAAGCTGGGAATACTGCCAGGCGAGCTAATCTTTGAATTCCAACATGAGCATTCGTTAGAAAATGTGATGCATCGATGTATCATCAAACTACGGGGAAAGGTTCTTGCCAACGTGCTTGCAACTGGTCGCACATGGGCTAAGCGTACAGCGGCATCTAAAGCATTGGAGTATATTGTCAAAGGCGGCTATAAGGAGGTGCTGCTCAATTAGAAATTAAATTTATTTTATTTTATGGACGAGAACTTGTCCGCAAATGCCTTTGTCGTGCAGAAGGTCCTTTCTCCCGTCCACACGAGGGCCATCAAACAAGAATCACATGCGGCGGGGCATATACGGGCTTCAGTCGTGGCAAGCCACTATTCTTTCATTGAGCGCGAAGTGCTTGCAAAGCTTTTTTCCTCCGACCTTTCAACGCTTTGTTCCATGTGTCTTTTGAAATCTTTTGAAGCCTTTCAATTAAATTTGGAGGCTCTTTCGAAATTGCCAATGGCTTTACATGCACTTTGGCTATTTGTTGTATATTTGACTCCTTTTTTCTATTCCAATATTGATCCAGTCCCATCAAATGCTGCCAAAATAGAATTTTATCCATGTAGCGTTGAATCGATTAGCTCATCTAGAGCCAAGTACTTGCATCAGCTAGATCGCTATTTTACTTGCATTTCATATGCTTATCGAAAATTGGCCAGCCATAGCCCGCAGAACAATCTTCGTATCTTGAAGACATTGTCTGCAAAGGAGGAAGCCCTGAATTTGTTCAAAATCCCGATTTTCTCGCTTGGCATAAATATATCCTGCTTCATCGGCCTAATTCCATGCACGCTTTCTTCTCTTTCCTTGGAGGGTTGCGGGTTATTTGACAAAGAGCTGGGTGTTCTGTTAGAAGTGATATCAATTAAACTGCCAAATCTGAAGGAGCTGAACCTTTCACATAATAACAGGGTTACAGATGCCTCCTTCAATGAGATTTTTTCATCCATGGTTCGGCATCTAAGGACCCAAAGCTCGCCACCCTTTTGCGCCCTAGAAAAACTAAGCTTGGCAGCAAATGAGTTGCTCTTTTCGTCAATCAATATGGCTGTATTGTTTCTCCTTCCATCAATAAGACACATTGATCTTTCGGGTACAGCATTTGAATCAAAACGGACATCACCCGATTTCCTTGCCATCTCAACATTATTTAAACTCACTCTGGTTGAAAGTCGTCTGCAGTTTGCTGGCGGAATCGATGTTTACACTCTGTTAAGCTTTTGGATTGGCCTTACAAAGGCGTTCAATATAGGGTCTGTTGAAAATTTGTATTTTAATTTGATTGAAAAGTTATCCAAAAGTGAAGAGGATAGGTTTTCAAACCATTTTGAGCATTCGAGGGTAGCACAAAATCTGGTCCTAGAGTTTGACAAATCAGCTTTGAACAATAGCTTGATTGTGCCCATTTTTTTAAAAATCCTTCAAAAGGGTCAAGCCAAACGCCACAAATTTAATGCCATTGATGATCCCGCTCAAGGGGGGGAGCGAGCATGGATTTCCTCAAACAGCGTAAAATCGGCCGATTCAAATTTAAATATTTTTAGTCTTTATAAATAAAAATACGATGCTTGTGAATCGAACCAACAACCCCAGCTGTGATCTTTCAATATTCCTTATTCGACGGATTGCATTATCGGGCAATTCAGGTTTGCGGGCTCAAATCTCATTCACATAATAGGGGCCTCTATTTCTGAAGTGATAGATATGTTGCTCCAGCATCAGAAAGATCCCATTGGAGATAATATTTCCATTGAAGAGAAAGCCGCTCTCGTCCAGCCATTGTGGATTGGCCTATTTGATTCCATCCAGTCTTTCCTTGTATATTTTTTTGAGCATGATCCTGTAAATCGATTTTATTTTTACTGTTGCTAGTCGACGTTTTTTCSCAGTGCAGGTCTTTTTTGTGAGTTAGTTTCTTTGCTAAAATCGCCTTTGAAAATAGTGATAATCCCAAAACTGCGGCATCGAATCCATTTTGGTACTTTTTTATCTGGAGGCGGCAGCAGCATTGCATCAACACTCCCCGCTCAAGAGTCTAATGAATTGGCAGACTTTGCACTTCCCACACCAAGTGGCATTAGATGGACTGCGCAGCCAATATCGTTTTTGAGCTCAATCATAGAGAGCGGTCCTCGGGGCATAAAAACCTCGGAGATATCAAAAAAGCTGCATTTTGATCCTCGTTCTTCTTACTTTTTTTCTCGGCGTTTGGAAGCCGTAAACTTGATCGAAGCCGAATCCATAAAATCGCAGTCCTCTAATTTATTGCGAGCAAAGAGATTTATACCAAGTTATGGGAGATCCATTTCATTGGTAATTGCTTCTGGTATTGATGTCAATCAGCTAGTGGCTCAAATTTCAGAATTATCGGTGAAAGCAGGCGGTGCTGTTTGCTTGGAAGATATTGTATCTTCCCTTTGGAGGATCCATACCAAGACCTCCTTGACATTCCGGAATCAAGAAACAGAAGAGCCGGCATCTCCTTTGTTTACGGACGCAATCAAATATCTTCTTAAGGGTCTATTGGATGCTGGCCAAATTAAATATATCGTAGCCACGGTCAATAATTCATCGGCCCCCGTTGAGTGCTATCAGCCGATAGATACGAAAGAAGGCTCTAAACGCAAGCTATATGCTGAAAATATAGACGCAGACGAGCATGGGGGTGAAGGCGAGGGTGAAGCTGAAACTCAACTAACGCTGGTTCAAAAATGGTTTAAAGCAAACTATGCCTCTTTGATTGGCATTCCTATCAAGATTCAAATTCTTGAAGTTTTAAGAAGATTGGGCCCAAGGGGTGCTATCATTTCGGAGCTTTGCGCTTTGCTTAATTTGAGACCAAAAGGGCTGGCTTCATTGATGGAGTCATATAAATCTCCCAAAAAAGCTTCAACCCCCCTCTCTGAAAAGTCTATTGTTACTTCGATTACAGAACACTGTGGGAGGAGTAGAAGAATCAGATATTTTTACCAAGGTCCTCTTGACAGGCCTCTTTCGATCAAATGGGTGCTTTGTCAACCCCGTTTTTCCTCTTGTTCTTCGCCCTCTTCAACGGAAGACACCAAGCCGATCACTAAAGAAAAAGACCAATTGGAGCCAAAAAAATTCAAAGAAGATGCCGACACAAATACGCGATCTATCAGTACCACCAGATTAAACCGAGAAAAAACCGTTCTTCAATGGCTTTCGCATGAAAAGGTGATCCCCGTTACACGCGAATTGGCGAAAAGATTACAAGAAAACGAAGGAGACTTCCAATATCTGATCGACACCAGATCGGTGGTCAGAATAGCTCACTCATTGGCATCCAGAAACCTGGCCAAAACACTTCCACTCAAAATGATAAACTCTGAACAGCAAATACTGTTATTGGTTTCGTTGGATCTGCTCTCAGAAGGATACCCTTTACATAACCACCCCCAAATACTAGGTGCCATTGAAAAAGAAAAGGAAAGATTATCGGCACCAAGGACAGTATCTTCAAGCCCCGCGCAAGCCCGGAACTCGATTATCAAAATCAACCGCCTTTTCAATGACAATCCGACTGAAGATATTAAAAAAGTGGCTCACAATGAAATGCAATATATCGACTATGGATTTGTCAAAAGCCCGATCCGGCGGCTATATATTTTCCATTGCATGATCTTTCGACTCGCATCGACTTGCAACATGCTTGTTCCGAGCCCGGCCTCTGGAGCCAAGATATTTTCGGCGAATATCAACTCGCTATATTTGTGGGAATTTTTGGCCCTTTTTAGCGTACCCAGGTCGAAGAGGCTTGCTACTTATTTAGGATTTGAAAATCCTACGCTTCCCTGGCAAACTATCCAGTCACGGCTTAATCAAAAACTATCCGATTCTCTGCCATGGATCAAGAACTTTCTTATTGACAAAAGAACCATGGACACGCAATGCGATTCAAATGACGATTATAACGCGTCTTTTGGTGGTGCCGACTATCCGATCCGGAAAAAATGGCTTGCATACCTGGCTTCTCTGGCAGAATTGGGAATCCTTTCTCCTTGCCAGGATTTTTCGCCAAATTTTACCGCACCTACTGGTGGCTTGATTGTTTTGAATCCAGATTCTCAAACGCCTATCATCGGTGTGGAAGACCTGCCTATGGTTCCTCCCCTACAGCTAGCTTTGAAGAGCCCATCTGGAATTGATATTTCATGCCCTCTAGCTATTGACAGGTTCTGGGCCGAATTCGAATTCCAGCTTATTAGTGTTGTCTCTTCCAAGAAGAATGCTGATGATAATAGCTTCTTGAGTGTAGCAGAGAATCCTGAAAGTTGTGAAAACTCTGGAAACTTGGAAATCGCTGCCATACCAAGTTCAGATTTTGCAGAAGAAAACTCGGGCCTATTGTCTTCAGAGTCTTCTCAATATGCGGCTAATTTGTGTGCCTTTATCCCTTTCAATCTTCCAACAGAATCTTCTAGCATACTTGCTACACTAAAGTCGCTTTGTTTGTCCTTTTACAAACCATTAGACGCCTTGTGTCGGTTTAATTTTCGTTGCAAGCCACGCAAGTTAATTTCAGAGCTCTTTACTCTTGAGCAGTGTCTGCCACTGGAAGAGATTCTAAAGTCGTTTAAAAGTTGGATTTCAATACGCAAACCATCTCCTAGTGAGACTCTATTAGCACTACTTTCCATATCATCGGATTATAAAATTCCACTATCTGTGATGTTTTCTTCCGAAACCCTTCCATTGATTGCAAATGCATCTCAACAAGACATCAATAACAGCACATTACTTTGTTCGTTTGAGGAATTAAGGATCCTGGTCGTTTTGTTTATTTTATGGTTTCTTTTTCCACCTCAAATGGCATCTGCCCTTTTTTGTATGATAACCAATAACGAAGAGCTAAAGGAAATGAAAACCATTCTTTCCATCTTGTTCTCGGATGAAAAAGACGGCTACTCGCATGAAAATATTTCCGTGGTGTTTTCAGATGTTTTTCCGGTCATCAGATCCTCGATTCTTGGAAATGGAAGGCATAAAACTTGGGCTGAAAATCAAATTAAGAGCTTCATTCGCCCCATTTTTGATCCACTTGATAGTGATTCTCCGACTCCGCTAACCAAGCAGGCATCGTGTAACTTTTTTGACATTGCTGACTCGATAACGCTTGATTTACTGCTTCCAAACAGCACGAACCATTGTGCCTCCACTTCGTTTGAAGATAAAAAGCTAAAGCTTGGCATAAACCTGTCCGTTCCTTTTGTTTCTACCGAGCGTATTGATCCAACCTGCCAATCGGTCGTTCCAAGAACATGTCTTTTTAGTTGCAGTGAACTTCAATTCTGCAATAGCAACTCTACTCTCAACGCCATTTTGACTTCGGCATCATCAAGCGTGAAACGTAGGTTGGTAATGTATGATTTGCTTCATACGGGATTTATCTCAAATACCGACATCGCAGAGCCTGAAGACTGCTGCAGTGGCGATGTATTTACATCTGAAAAAGGCGATCAACGCAAAGTATTGCCATCATCTCGCACAAGCCAGGCTACATTTGTGGACTTTGAGCCTGATGAAGAATTAATTGGAAGCAGGGCCAATTTGGACAATTATTCGGACGAGTTATTCATTCGTGGCGAAGAAAAATTTGCCAATTCGTCTGTAGGCGGTTCAAACCATTCCGCTTTAGTCTGTCAATCTGCACTCAAATCTGTCGTTGCATTTGGATCGTTTCCTACCGCCACTAGCTTTACTGGAAATGATGACGAGTACGCTATGAGTGACAACAGTGATGGCGTTGTTGAGGCTTTTCCAATTGAATCGCTATTTGCAATTTTTGGATCGACTAGCCCATCTAGGCTGGCAAAGAAGTCATCTCTTTTGATCCAAATCGCCTTGGGATTGAAGAGAGATGGTGTATTTACAAAAAGGTTCTATTTTGGACAGGAGCTGCCCATTTTATCGTCCAAGTTACGCAAGGCCTGTTGTGGGCTATCCTTATCATTCACCGATCGGTATGACGATATTTCAACTTACATTGTAGGTTCTCTTCCTTTTTTGTAAACCCAAAATGGGCAAGCACTGGTCAATCACTTGACCAAACCTCAAATTTGTCTTCCATACAAGCAAGTTCGGCCATTAACCCACATACAAATTTTGAAAATATTATTGATGATGTGATCTCGGGGACCTATGCGCTATCATCTCCAACGATGTGCCCCACAAGTTTCGAATCTTCTGAAAATGGGGACATCGATTTTCCCTGCCAAAACTTGAGCCTCCTTGCGATGGATAGCTCCGGCTTAGCGACCTGTTTGAGCTCCAAGATGCAGTCAAAAATAGTGTCAAACATTCTCGAAAAAGGCTTGGTTGGCGCATCTCTTTCTGAGATATGGGAATACGCCTCGCATTCTCCAAAAGAAGCGCTTTATGCTTTTTTGAAAAGCTGTTCTCAATTGACGCCCATTCATTTTGCCAGATTTGTTCACATCGACTTTGCCTCGCATTGGTTGATTCCCGTTTACGACTCTGTCGATGCCAATTCAAAAAAGTCTCCCCGTGCCTATGTGCAGCCTAGGATTTGGTTGGCATTAAATGGCTCTTTTAACGTGGCAATATTCGATGCTGCCTTGGCAAAAATCTATGATTTCATAAAAGAGCATCCCGGAGTCTCACTGGTAATGATGGGCTTTTGTATTTTTTAGAGAATCCTTTTTCGACATTTCAGCAAATGGCTCTCTCTCCCTGAAATGGGAGACATCATGGTTGAGCTTGTGGATCATAGAAAGTTGATAAGACAAGTTTCCATCGAATACACCAGCAATATTCGCCAACCTTGCCACTCATCGCCGTTTGCCATTCCCGCATTTGACAAAGACTCTTATACAGTTTACTACATCTCCTTGAACAGCCATCGATGACCTTCCGGCATCGGCAAACTTGTCCATTGAATAAACTTTTTGTACAGAATGATCTAGTTAATTTATTTGAGAAAGTGTGCTTTGATGTCCTCCAAGAGGGCCTCGTTCACATCATTGTGGGCTTTGATAAGACTCTCGGTCTATTTCGTAAAGGCGCTAATTTTACCAGTGCTGAGCATTCCAGGCTTTCTCCACCGATAACATCAATGGCCAATACAGAGTCCTTGGGTGCGTTTGAGGCCCAAACAAGAAGCACAGATGAATTGGCTGAGCTCTAATCGTTAGCAAACAGACATACCGCTATTGAGAATGAGCTGGCCGCAATCATGAACTTAATAGGGATCCCTAGAGTCATTATTGCTATCAAATGGACGAACCAGAATCTATCAAGGCAACGGAGAGGCAATTTATGGCACATGATAAAATTTCATGGAACGAAGAGTTATTTCCAGATTTTGATAAAAAGAAGCTGAATAAAAAGCCCGATCGAGGAAATAGTAGTGTGAGAAGTGTCTCCGACAGAATTCCGTGTAAAATATGTTCGATTTCCCTTGGCGACCTAGACGAAAAGCCCTTGCTTAAATCAAGATCTTTCCCGGCCTCCTTTCCACTTGTATCTTCAGTATCGTTGGTATCGCTATAATCATTGCCATCTATTTCCATCGGTGGATTCTTTGTAAAATTGTCGACCCAAGCGAGAGTCGACGAGGAAAGAGAGGATCTCCATATGCACTTGATTGCAGCCCTATCTTCAAGCTCTAATCTGGGCTTAACAGGAAGAGGTCCATTTATTGAGCAGTATACGGAGATGGTGCAGGGGTCATCAATAGCTCCTGTCGAGTATGAAGCAGATGCCAGCGATCCCGGTAGGACCTGGGTTTGAATAATCGGCTTGGTCATATGTTGTATTCCTGAAAGATTTAAATTCCCAAAAGCTCGAAATTTCGTTGCAACCCTAAATGTTACCGCCATCTCATGCCACACCACGCTAGATACGCGAGTACTAAACAAGGTCAGCAGCACTAAGCGGGCTTATGCTTGATCTCTGAAACATGGCATATCGTGAATATTTATTGATCAACTAAAAACTACAATTAAATAGCTGAAGCCTAATCAAAGAGACCAAATCCCATCTCCTCATCTGATGGCTCTGGCTCGGGTTCTTTCTTGGCTGGGGCGCTCTTCGAGCTTCCAGAAGCTCCAGAAGCGGCAGCAGCAGCTGGGGCAGCACTTTGAGCGCTGGCAGCAGGGGCAGCAGAGAATGAAAAGAGAAGGTCATTCACGTTTTTTCCGGCAAGTGTCTTTGCAAAAAGAGTGCACCAGATTGAGTCAACTTGAACGTTGGCAGCGGAAAGAATGGCAGATAGTCCTTCTGCGGTGATCTCAACTCCAGCGTCTTGTAGAATGAGAGCGGCGTAAACAACAGCTGTTTCGGGGGAGAAAGTCATTGGGATGGATGAAATTAAAAGTTACGATTGAAAAATGAGTTCAAGCAAGTTTAACTCCTAAAAGAGCAAGAACTACAAAAAATTGCATTTTAATTTTAAATTTATAACCCAAATTTATATTGCAATCCATCCTACACGTTCCACCCTCATGGATGCCTCTAAATTTATCCCCATCGTTGATGAGGATGATGAGAGGGCTGGATCAGACGCCCTCATTGAGGATTCTGCCATGATCAAAATGGAAAATGAATATTCGGACTCTACCGCTGATAACGGCTTAAACTCAAGGACCAGAAATTTGACTCCGCAAATTTCGATTGGAAATACGCTGCCGGCCTCGAAAATTAGAAAGATCCTGAAAGAATATGATGAGCTCTCAATCATATCAAAAGACTCTTTGTTCCTGATAACTGCAGCGACGGTATTTCATTGTGGATAATCTTTCAGGAGCTTTTTATCCAATACTTTGCATCGAGGGCATTTGAGCTTGCAAAGGGAAAAAGAAAAACTGTCCTGTATAGCGACTTGATCCAATTGGCCAAACAAGACGAGCGGTTTATGTTTGTGTCTAGTAGGAAGATTGGTTATTGAATTTTAGATGATATTGACAATCCCGAGTTCACTGGACTTTCTTCGTCATCCACTCAACTTGTATTCAAAACTATTGCTGACGTAGAAGAGTCCACTGGAGATGTTTTTGAAAAATAGCCTGGTGTGCCGCCCCCCCCATACAATGCCCAATTTTATTAAAGGTTTCATTATTTAATATTTTCTGAACTTGCGGCTCTGTGGATAATCATGGGGTATTGGCGATTTAGACCGAGACTTTTGTCTCATTTGATTCCTAGATTTTCTCTCTGGCGAATGAAGTCGTGCTCCGGCATCGCGAGAGCTTGCTCCTCTTGTTTGAGGAGACTTGGATCGAAGCGGTGGCGATTTCGACCTTCTGCGTGAAGGCAGTTCATACAGAAACGCGGTTTTCCCCTGTGTACTCGGAGAGGTTACTGGGGTGTTTGGATATTTTTCCTAAAATCACATTGCACAAATACCTTCAACCGATCGAGCTCTTTTCTGACCTTGTCAAACCCAATGTGCTGCTTTCCCTCGTAATGGGCGTCGAGCCTCTTTGCAATGTCATTTACAACAAGAAAAGCACCGCAAACGCTGCATGTTTCCATTTCCTTCTCCATTTTAAACATCGGGTTTATTTCCTACAGAAAGAGAATCGAAATATACCTGTTTGATGCGGTCAATATCCCTTCTAAGGCGATCGGATTCGCAATCCAACTGCTGGGCTTCATAGACCTTGCCTTCTTCGCCAAACTTTTCCATACGATCCAAAAGATCTTTCAGCTGTAATTCAAGCTTCACTATTCGCTCTTCATTTTCGTCTTTGTTTGGTTTCATCATTGCAAGCACCTCATCTGAAGGCTTGGCCTCGAGCCTTTCTTTTGCCCGTTTTATTCGGCGATCCAGATCATTTACCAGTCTCTGCAAGTAATCCATCATTTTCTTCTCAAATTGAACAACGTAATCCTCCCCATTTAACATGTAGCTATAAGCGATAATAAATGGCAATGACGTACTCTGCCCGTAGGGCCTCGTCATGAGTACGGTACTCACACGGGCCAATATCCGATTTTGTGTTGGGAAACAAGTCATGTGGACAAAACGAAACCAAAAAGTACTTGCAAACCTAGCAGGTATTTAAAGACATCGATTTACATCTTTATCATAAAATCTCTTTTCCTGCGTCTTTTCTTCATACACGGTTTTGTTTCTATCAAGACCCATTAGTTCATTGCATAGCTGACGAGCATAATCAGACATTGAAAACCAAAAATTTAAATTAATTGCCAATTTTAATTTTAAATGATTCCAGGCACCAATTCCATCTTTTCCTTTGATACTGTCCATAGGGGATCGAACATTTTTTCCGGCAAGAAACAGTTAAATGGCCAATTTACACTCTCGAGACTGGTAGAAAAGGATTCGGGACCTTTTGAGGTTCTCGTGGAATATATGCCTGGTTTATTTAAAACGATCCCAATCTCTTCGGTACGTTTGCCGCATGTTTACCTAAATTGTAGTGTGATAGTGCCGAAGCAGTCTCGGAGGCTTTTTGTACAGAGATTGATGACCACGCCATCAAGGATAATCTGTGTCATTACTTGACCATGGTCCAAGATGTCGCCGTGTGTAAAATAAATAATACTGAATAACGATCCGCGAAATAATTTAATTTAATTCTAAATTTTACCAATCGTTACGTTGGCTTGGCCGGCATTTTTATGGAAAGCGCCGAAACGGGCTCCTGCGGCCTGTGGCTGCTTGGCCGTCAAAACGTACTCGAAACTTTAATTGGACCAATGCAGATATAAAATCGTTTGAGAACAATAATTTAAATTTAAGTTAAGGGATCAACCTTCTAATGAATGTCACCAATTGGAGGGTTTGGTTTGTAACTGCCTGGAATTTTCGCAAATCGCTGATTATTTAAATAGTGGGATTAGCAAAGCCAATTTTTATCCAAAATGGTACTCCCCAACTGATTAGATCTAACACTATAGTCTTCCGGAATAAATGTCGACGATTCATGCCTTGTTGCTTTTGATGAATTGAAAAAGAATTCAAAGCACACGTATTTACAGTTCAAGATCTCCGAAAAAAGGACCAAGATCGTTGTTGAAGAGCTTGTGAAGCCCGCAGCTACTTTTGAGGAATTTGTCGCAAACCTTCCAGAAGACGATGGCAGATATGCCGTTTACGATCTCGAATACAAGCTTTCGGATACCGATGGGCTGCGTAAAAAGATCCTTTTTATCAGCTGGTATGCCATTACTTCTCCGACTTTCACCGTAGGATTCCAGACTCGGCTGTAACAGGTCAAAAAATGACTTACGCCTGTAGCAAGGATGCATTGAAATCCAAGCTGCTGGGGATTGCCCTGGACATTCAGGCCAACTGCAAAGAGGACCTGGAATACTCCAGCATCATGGACCGTTTGCGTAACAAGAACTAATTTATTGGGCTTTTATGCAACATAAACATATGATTGTTTTATTGAATTTGTATTTTCCACGTAGTTATGAATATCGTATCGAGCGATTTTTGAATGGAGGCAAATAAATCTCCAAACGATGTAGTAGAGGCTTGCGAAAATAGAAATATCTGATATGCTAGCAAGCAGGATATGAATGCCATGCCCCGAATATCTCCGTTCATTGAGGACAGAAAAATGTCCTTTGAAATGGAGAGAATGGATATAGAATATGACCGAATGGGCCCAACCGGCATGCCATCATCCTTGATGTCGACCTCATCTTTACGTGCATAGTCTTCAAAGCCCGCCTCCTTGCCTCTAACGTAACTTGAAAAATACAATGCAAAAAATACCAAGGGTATCAAGAAATGAATCTTGAGTTTTGTAATAATCATGTTGCGAAATATGACAATAATAAATCCCCTACTGGCTACATAATTTCATTGGGTAGCGACCGGAAATCGTTGGGCGCGTCCAATTAAAATTCAAATTTGTCCAGGTAAAATTAAATCAAATTAAATGGTCCAAAACGGCGTTTATTTAGTAATGCCCTTTAATATACAATGACAGTGTGTTTTCACCCAAGAAGAAATATTCCCAACTCCAGAACGTGAAGTGTAAGTTCTGTATTTGACCCGGGAGGAATAAGGATATATAAAGCTAGACTCCGAAAAAAATAAAAACATGATATTAATAGATCTTTGAGGAGGTCTATGCTTTCATTTGATGCCTTGAGAACGGAGTGGCCAAAAATGTCAGTGTCAGTCCCCAAAGCAGAAATACCATTAACCTGAAATACAAACACGACCAACAGCAATGAATAAACGACACAAAATCTGGGAAACATAAAAAGAGATAATCTTTTGTTCGAAAATACCTCCAGTAGCCAATGGGATATGCTCATTTGCAAATTTTTATTTCATTGGAAATTAATTCGCCTATCTCTCCATAGTACAGATCGCTTTTTGCCAACATGTCCACCAGTTCCTTCTGAAAGATCTCCGTTAGTGTGCAGATGGTAGGGCCTTCCCAATTTGCGAAGCACTGCGCCCTGATTGAGCAAAATTCTTTGCAAGTAGAGAAAATTAGAGTATATATTTGATTTAAATTACTTCTTGCAGTTATGGCGGTACCAGTGGTCGTTGTATATATAAACGGCATGTGTTTCCCAATGATGCACTTGCAGAAATTAAGAGCAAAATCTAAAAAGTCTGAATGCCACTCACTGTTGGCAATATTATAGAGCTCTGGAATATCGGCGATCTCCCTCTGCATAAGAGAGGCATGAATGTGCCCCACAATTTCAGTAAGGCAACTATATCTATTTTGCTCGCCATGCAGGTACATTGAAGTACTGAGGATAGCCGTTTCGAGGAATTTATCCTTGAGGGTCTTTAAAAGAAGAAACAGCCTGGTCGCAAATGCAGTTGATTTGCCCCATTTTTTAATGGCATAAAAAGAATCGAATACCATTAAATATAGGCTAGAAAAGTGTCTAGAAAAGCTCAAAAACGAAGGGAAATATAAGGCAAATTCCTTGGATGCCAACTGGGCATCAACAGCAGAGAACTGGGACTGAATGGTCGGCAAACTGGTCAAATGCTCGATAATCGTGGCAATATTCTTATCAAAAAGAGAAATAAATTCGCCTAGCAACACAGGGGAGAGTGGATTTTTCTTGGTAAAGCACAAAGTAGACACTTCAAAATACACAATCGATAGTAGAAGAAAGAAAAAATCATTTTCCCTCGTCAATAACAATTTCTTTTGGATTCCTTTCTATCGCCGTGAAAGGCAAATAAACATACCTTGACAACTTCAATCACATCTTTTTTAAAGTCGGTTAGCATTTTTTCTCCGGAAAGCTCAAAAAACGGGCCAAAAAACTCAACCTCACCAGATAAGTATTGATCCACAAGTAAACATAGCCTTAAAACGACATTTTCAGGGAAAATTGGCTGATAATTAGTAGGACTCACTATGGTTACCTCGGATAGGGCTTCGCTATGGGCCTCCAGTACCCTGAATATGGATTTCTTCTCCTTTTCTAAAACCACAGTGTCGAATTTCAAAAGAGGGACTAGGATTTCCGCTACCGGGGGCATCTCAATAGCGTTTGTAGGCTCAGTAAGGGGAGATAAAGTAATCCTGAAAAGGTCTGATGCATGGTTAGTAAAATCCGCAATTTATACTTGAGGCAAGCGAAAGATACTCCTCTTTTGGGGAGGACTGGAAAAACGACGTTGGCAGCGTCAAGCTCCAAATGGAAAAATCATTGAGCTCCGGTCTTGCCTATTTTATAAAAAGTCAGCATCTCAACCACAGTAACGCCATTGACAAGTTGCTTTAGGTGCTTTTGAAAAATAGAGGAAAAGATGGAGGCTGACGTCTCTAAATACCTTTTAATCAGGATATCATCGGAACCATCATACAGCATCGTGTTTTCTCCCTTATTTGCAGCACCATTCCCCAACGCATTGCTTGTAGTGTTAGGCTCTTCGTCAGCGAGATCTTCTTTTTTTCTCTTCTGGCAGAACCTTAAAATTCTCCTTGAAATGTCAAATAAGCCCCTTTTCTTTGTACACTCGGAATGCAAAAAGCCCAACTCGGCATCTAAAGTTGAAGTTGTATCTTTTGCCGAAAGAGGTGCAAAAATATTCTTAGAAACAAATGTGCAAATTTCATTAAGTATCTAGGAGAAAATAAGACCAAAAGATCTAACATGGATGCTCAATTCAGAATAAATGGGCGTAATATCCGAAACGATAGGAATGGGGGCTTTTTCTTTAATTGACGAAAGGTTTTCTACCACCCTAACGTATTGAGCACAGCAATCGGAAAATTGCTCAATGCTGGAGGAAGAGGACATTGCACCATCTTTGAGCTTTCTATTAAAAATAGCGGTGTTTCAATGGTACTTGATTACAGTATTTGGCAAAACATAATGAGAAAAGAACTCCTCAATCAATATCTTCAGTTTCTATATGGAAAGGGTTGGAATTGATGTGCATTACACTCCTGTTGGAAAGCTTTGTGGAGAGCTCCGTGATTTTCGATAGCACAGGGTTTGTTTTGGAATCTATATCTTTTTTTTTGACCAAGTATTCTTCAATGAGCCCCTTGTATTTTGTATTTATCTCGAACAATATCTACGCATAAAGGGCAAAAGACAATACCTGGAACTTGGAAAGGAACTCGGTGAACATTTTTTCTTTTTCTGGAAAGTCATTGTTAATTCTAGACTGAGAAGTCGACACAGCATGGTGATTTTGATCATCATTTTCATTATGAGAATTGGCGATGGGTAAGAGTGATGCCGTCATTTGATTTAAAGTTTAAATAGCAACTAACCCTAACCGATTTTTTATCGTTTAAATAGCAGTGGATTGATACCCAGCCGTCATCTTTCTTTCAAATGGAGCACAAAGTACTTGATCCTGAGACACGCGTCTATCAAGCATATTCTTTCCTAAGAAACTTTAAAGCTGGGATTTCTCGATTCTCTAAAAACGTGACCAGATCTTTGAAATCGATTTTTTCCTCCTCCATATCTCGCGGCCTTAATAAGGTTGTCCCATTGAATGCTGCTAATCAGCAAACAGGGATATCCTCAGAGCAGATTTTCTTTAGCGAAGATAGGCATTCTCATGATCTAAAATCGCCGCCTACTGAACAGGGAGAAACTCCTGTTCAGATACCCTTGGATGATGCCAAGTCTTGTGCATCTATCATCCCAGAATTATCGTCAAATAATTTATCTATAGACGAAAAACACATTGAGATACACAAAGATGGTATCATAATTGAGGAATCACCGCCATCTTCTATTCGTGGACGGGATCCTTTATCTGTCCCAATGGAGTCTGGAATTCGGTTAAAAACAAACAGGAAATGCCTCGTGCTAGATTTGGACGAGACGCTTATTCACTCCTCATTCAATATACCAACAGTCAAAACTGATTTCATCCTCAAACTGGACCTCTCTTCTTCCGACCAGCAGTCTCTAGTGACCGATGTGGTCTATGTGTCCAAGCGACCGGGTTTGGATGGATTTCTAGAGGAAATCTCCAAGCACTTCGAGGTGGTCGTCTTTACTGCGTCACTCCCATCATATGCTAATCCGGTGATTGACCGAATAGATCCTGAGGGCAAGTATATCCATCATAGGCTGTTCAGGCACTCTTGTATTTTCGTTTGCGGGCATTTTATTAAGGTACCCTTTAACAATTGTATCAACTAGAATAGGATTTGACCATATTTGGAAAGCCGCTCCATGATATTATCATTGTGGATAATTCCCCAATATCCTATATGCTACAACCACAAAATGCAATAGCAATACCTACATGGTTTTCTGATCCACATGACAGATACCTGTCTCTTCTTTGCCCAGAGCTCATAAAGGCATCTACTGCCGAAATGCCGATAAGTTCGCTTTCAGATGTCAATTCTATTTTACAAGAGGAAGCGATGAACAAAGGTGTTTCGATCTCGTCGCCCTCTGCAATCCATGGAAATTTTGCGGCAATTTTGGAGATGCTCTCGTCCCCTTTTTCCTTTCCACAAACAGTCGAGAAATTTTGAGATATTTAATAAATTGGCCATATTTACAATGATTTCAATTTGGTGTTGTTATCAATTGTGGAATTTAATTTTATTCAAATGTCCCTGGAAGCGTGTATGATCATGTAGGTCCCGTTGTCTTCTAATCCCTTTTCCTCTTTTTATCTTGTTCCCTTACCTACCGTGGTAGTCTTGATACATCAGAGTGGGTTCGGTCGGCAGATTACCTTCCGACACGAATGGAGGCCCAGCTCGATGCTGCCAAGGTCATCATTCAGGCAAAGCGCCAACGAAATCAAGAGAATTCCATTGGAGTCATGACGATGGCCGGCACACTGGGGTATCAGTGTATTCTTCATTTTTAGCCCACATGTCCTTATTTCGCTTTCGCAAGATTCTGGAAATCTCTACAAGGCGCTTTCATCGGCAGCCATTAATGGAAATCCCTCTTTCCTCTCTGCAGTGAAAATTGCGCAAGTATGGCTATTAGTTGACCGGTCGTTATTTATAGCTTGCGCTGAAGCATCGTCAAAATAAAAGCCAACGCCAGCATATAATAGCGTTTGTCGGCTCCCCGCTTCTCCGGGACCCTGCGGGACGAACAGATGAAGACTCGCCAGAGGCGATGCAGCAGCTCGCCCGATCCCTAAAGAAGAATGGCATCTCCATGGACATTGTCAGTTTTGGAGAAGAAGATAGAACAAACTTGGAGCGCCTCTCTTCCTTCATAGAAATAATCTCGCACGATCGAAACAGGTATCTCTTGCTCCTTTTCTAATCCCCCGCCTCTAGGTACGGATTACCGCAGAAATATAGCTTAGGTACTATGATAAACATCTCATGGCATCAATCACTATAGCAATTTGGTGTCTGTCCCGCCATCAACCGGAGGTCTACTCTCCGATGCCGTGGTCTCATCACCCATTCTCAGTGGATATAACTCATCCGGGTCTGAGTTTCCATTCGGCGTTGACCCAGAGCTAGATCCAGAATTAGCTCTTGCGTTGCGCATGAGTCTAGAAGAGGAGCGAAACCGCCAACCAGCTTTACCAACCACAGGGGAAGCCTTGGCGCAACCCCATGTTTTGCCTGAGACATCCACTCCACAAGAAATTCAGGAGGAGAGTGAAGGCGATGACGAGCTCGCGATGGCCATCGCTATGTCGCTCGACCATTCAGATACTCAAGTTGAGCAACGGTCCCCCAAGCGCAAGCTTGATGAGGGTGATGACCAATAAACGTATCATCCGGTACAGAAAATGCTACACCATCGCACACTCGCAGCCATTGGTGATTGCTAACAATTATACAGGGACTTGACGCCCAGCGCAATTGTAACAACCCCAAAAAACTTTGCTGCCAAATGCGGTAAAAACGACGCTTTTCTAAGACGCTGTAAAGTCCAAAGTGTTAGCTCCTCATTTATTATTAAGGCGGATAAATTAAGACCTGGGCTTATCCTTCTTCTCTTTGTATAGAGCAAGCAGGGAGACGGAAGCCACTTTGACGACCTTGAATTTGACACCGGGAATGTCTCCCACAGCACGACCTTTACGACCAAAACCAGCAACAAGAACTTCGTCGTTGGTTTCAATGAAATTTAGACAACCATCGTTCGGTACAAAGGCAGTGATCTTCTTTGCGTTTTTGATGAGCTGGATTCGCACACACTTACGAACTGCAGAGTTTGGCTGTTTAGATTCAATACCACTAAAGGTAAGGCAAAACGAAATGCAAAATATAAGATGGGTAATAAAAGAAAAGTATCAGCACACAAAGATCAGAGAGATAGAATCATCAAGTTATCAGTTGTCCCTATCTGTTCTCATCATTTCAAAGGAGCTTTAGAAGTATGAACTTACATTCTTTCTAGGACAATTCCCTTAGCGTGAGAGGCTCCTCCAAATGGGTTGTGCTTGAAAGCTGTTCCAAGAGCCCTCTTCTTGTAGCTCTTGTCAGCCCAGCGGTTATCGCGGCGCGAGGTACGAAGCTTGCGAGCGGCGTTCAATCCTGTTGGTTTTCCCTTGCCTACATATTAGACAAATTGAAAAGGGAGCGATAACGATGGATGTAAATATCGTTGGTTGATCTGAAGAAAGGAGACGATAAACTTACCCATGATTCAAAATTAAATTTTACTTAAATAAAATTAAACTTTATTTTTTCTTGATGTTTTTGCCGCTATAAAATCGAAAGCATTATCCATGGCCATGGCCATGGATATGGGAATTGCATACGTGGGAATGGAGCGCACATCAATCATGTCTGAAATTCCGTTTGAAAAACATGTGCCATAAACCCTGGAAAATGGAATTTCTGTCCCAAAAGGCTCGGATGAAGACACATAAACCATGCTATTCTCGGCAAACCAATTGGCCCGGTGTCCAGTGACGGGCGATCCTGGGCCCTCCGGGGCCGGGAATAGAACAACACCCCTCAAAATAGATTCCACAGATCTTTCTATGATGAGCTGGGAGATTGATGCCGAGGCAGCGATGGATGATCCCACGATAACAATCTGCTTTGATATTCCCAAACTATAATAAAACTTATTGCCCTTCATACCCAACCTACCTTAAAAAAGTATCCCATAGATAGAAAAGCGCAGAATGTTTCGGATCGACCTTGTTGATGGATGGGATTGACATCCTTCCCATCTCATCTACCAACGAGTCGCCAGATGCATGTGGAGGAAGAACAGGATGCCCCGATTCGCAATTCAATATGACATCTATGACGGAATAAGAATCGCTGAATGCTCGCTCAAAATATGCCAGTTCACTAAGAGACTACACAGGTTACGGGAAATTAGAAAATACGTAGACATCGTCATTGGATGTTATGTGCGAGTAGTAGTAGGACCCGATTGGGGGAAGTCCTTCTAGATGGAGTCTTGGTATGGAATGTACAAAGAGAACGATCGGCGACTTTGTATTTACTACATTTGAGCTACCACGAGTGAAAATGACATGTGCAAGTACCTTATGAAAATATCTCCATCCAACAGCAACGAGTCTGGAACCGGCATACGAATCATCCCAAATCGTTCCTGAAGAAGCGAGGAAAAGTATCTCGAAAAGATATCCTTCAATCCAACTCTACTCATCAGCAGCGAAGCTAACATTAGAAACTGCAAATAGAACCTTGGATGGAGTATAAAGATTTTTTTTCCTTTCGCGACATAATATTTGAATCTTTCAGCAACGGCATGTTTGAAGACGAAGCGGAGGATGCAAGCATTTTCCAATATCGAGATTGAATATTAATGACACTATTGAGGGTGTGAAGAGCTCCAGAATCTGGACGCCGTAGCTGCATTTGAGGCAATGGATCCATAAGCAGGGCTCGCAGACAGGCACATGCACAATTGGATAATGCCTCAAGTGAGTACCCCCCTTCAAGCAGAAGCAATATGCGGCCCCCAGCCAAGTTCATCAACATGCGTGTCATGTGGGCATAACATGCTGGACTCAAATGGTAATCTCCAATCGGGTCGTTTTCGGCTGCGTCAAAGCCAGCGGAAACGAGTACCATATCAGGATCAAACTCATATGCGATCGGGAGGACGATACGAGTGAATGCAGCAATATACTCTGCGTCGCCCATGTCCTCGTCTGAAAAAGGAATATTTACAGTGCGCCCGATACCAGCTCCAGCTCCAACAACCGTCATGCTAGCATCTTGAGAGCATGGAAAAAACTCTCCATCGTCAAACCGATGAATGCTGATGTAGAGCACATTTGGATCGCTCAAAAAAGCGTTCTGGGTTCCATTCCCGTGATGAACATCCCAATCTACAATCAAGATACGTTTAAGTGTCGACTGGCGCTGGATTGCTTTTGCCGTGACAGCAACATTATTAATGAAACAAAATCCAAAAGCCTAGCGGTTAGAAATGGTGCCCCGTTACTCGACCACATTCTGCATGGTGGCCCGGGGGTCTGATCACAGCAAACCCATTAAGAAGATCTCCAGATGCGATTTTTGATGCCATTTCAATGGCTCCTCCACAGGCTAAACGAGCGCAATCTGACGTGTGTTGATTGTAATAAATTGACTCCTTTTCATATTCTGTTGCCTCCTTAACTATTTGGGGTTATCGCTAGCATTATTTACCGGCAGTAGAGCCTAGCCAAGAGACATAATCTGCTTGATGAACAAGCCGGACCTCCGTATCTGTTGCAGGTCGAGCAGGAACTTGACAAACTCGATCGAGAAGCCCCTGCTTTTCCAAAGCCTCTTTAATGGCTAGGATTCTAGAAGGACATTCTGGGTGTTCAGAAAAATAATTTTCGTGCGCCAATAGTCTCTCGTCAAATAGAACCCCCGTTTGTAACCCTGAAAAAGCAATGCTTGATGTGGAGGAATCTTCGCGCAGCGCTGAATCATAGTAAGCTTCTCCGGAATCAGGGCTTGCGTGTCTGGAATTGGGACTTATATTTTTGGCGTCAGGAGAAATGAGCTGACTTTCCGTAAATAAAGCAGAAATTACTTGCAATTCGGGAGTGATTGATATTTTGGAGTCGTCTTCCTGTTCTTGATATGTAGATCCCCTCTGTGCCGACGAATAGAAACTAATTTCTGAAAACGACTTGCTAGTCAAGGATATGTCTGGTTTGGAGGGAGAGAGGACATTTGGTGGAGAGGATCCACGGTGCATCAATTAATTTTGAATTCTTCTGAATGGTCAAAAATTAAATTACTTTCCGGGCTCGCGTATATTTTTATAATTTTCAACTTGATGCCTTGTAATTGCTCTTCATCCGGGTCCTCCGATTGCTGCATTGAGGAGTCATCAACGGGCGGCGCAAATTGCTCGCCATCTGCCGCCTCGCTTTTCAAATACATAGACCATGCGAACATTTACGCCCTTAATGAAAAGACACGAGACTCCGTCAAGGGAATTTTCCGTCCACATCATTTGCGTTTGCAGACGGATATGGTTGTGCAGAGCGATGACGACGATTCCCAATTAATCATCCGCATCCCTCTTTCACAAAGCATTAAGCTGTCCTTTATTGCAATTGGGATGCTGCAACCTGGCCCCGAATATGTATTACGGATATTTGCAAACGGCGGAGCTGGCGCTGGCGCCGATTTTTCAAATATTTGGACAATCCCGGTCACGCAGGAGATTGCGCTCGCCGATACACCTTCTATTGTGACGACCTATCCGTTGCAAAGAAACAAGTTTTCAAACGTCGACGACTTGGTTTTGCACATTTGTACCGCGGACCATGGAAAGAACACTCCATTTCCTGCTCGACCCTCCTCGTCGCCGCTTTTTATTTTCTATGCGGGGCTTTATGGAGAAACGACATTGCTGCGACGCGATCCCGTAATTGGCGTGTATGAGGCGCGTCCAATAGCCTCGGACCATCCTTGCGTCAGTGTGAAACATCAACCGGTACCTGATTCCTTTGCCTGATTTCGTCGCAATAGCGCGATCGGAATGCTTTTTAGATAGCCCTGTGTTTGGTCAGCGTGGCGATAAACATTAAATTTGGTTGCGAAAGGGTTTATTGCAGCGGTAGCTAAACCAAAATTTTTTATTATATTCAAATGCTAACTTCTGACTTGCAGGAAGGAAAGGGAAGACCACCCATCTCCTTAAATGGTATGAACATCTTGCTATCGTCAAGGGCTTGAACGGTCAAGGAGAATACGTCGTTCTCCGTTCCAGCGCATGGGATCTACGGTTAGAAATAAATACCAACCCGTTTTACTTTGCCCTTTTCCTCGTAATATGATATGACTGGGATGGAAGATTGTTGATATGTCCTGAATCTCTTTAAAATCGAGTCGATGTTGTCATCGGTTCGCCCAGACGTTTGTGAGCGGTGCATCAATCGGGACAACATGGTTTCCTCTTCACACTCGAAAAAAAGAACCAGATCCATGGGAATCACGGTTCGCTCAAAGGCCTCTGCCTGTCCGACTTCTCTCGGAAATCCATCAATCAAAAAAATAGTCCCATGCGGATAGAGCTCCATTTCCGCCTTCAATAGGGCAATGGTGACAAAATGAGGGACAATGTTTCCTTCTCTGATGCAGGTTGCTATGAGCTCAACAAATGGGGATTTTTCGCGTGCTTGCTCGCGACGGAGAAGATCGCCCGCAGAAACATGAACCCAGCCAAACTCTTGCGCCATTTTTGAGCATTGCGTGCCTTTTCCAACGCCGGGGCCCCCAAGAACGAAGATAACTTTATATTTTCCCTTCTCAATGCAATATCTTTTTCTATCTGGCCTGTCCACACTTGATGACGAGAAAAGCCTACTTCCATCAATAGAATCAGTAGGTGTTTCTTCCACAAGTGTTGCACCATGTTTCTCTTCTGGCTTCAGAAACACCGCTGCAGTGAGGCCAGCAAGCAATGTTTTTGAGGACGAGCGGAATTGCAAATTGCAAGCGTGATGGCTTTGAATTGGCTTTGACTTCAAAAACAGTCCAAATGGGAGCTTTCCCGAAAATAACTTACTTATGACCCTTTTAAAATGGCTGGAGATAACGGAAAGGTGCAATGATTGGAAAATATGCGACGGAAATACCATGGTTTATTTAAAAAAAATACAAATTAAATTTGTGCAAAAATATCAAATTTTAATTGGAATTCTTTAATAAACATGGCAATCGAGGGGGACCGGGCACACCTTCAAATCGGGACTGAAGCTCTTGTGCACAACCAGGTTTGGAGGCGTATCTCTATTTCCCTCTGTAAAGATAATAAAACAAAGCCATCAATACCGTAGCGCTTTTGGGGGATGTATCTGGGAACCGGAATTTCAACACCAGAACGAAGGGAAATCCTTGTCGAGCGAGTGATGTTGTTGGCATCTATTACTTCGCACCATTTAATTTTCGTGGCCAGTTTTTCTACAGGATCGATCAGGGCCACATTGGAAACCGGAATCAAGGCTTCTTTGTCGATGATGAGGCCTCGGCCGGCAATTCCAGACGGCAAATGTACTCGGCTCTATGCGATTAACATATGCTATTGGCGCACCATATTGACACCGCCTACGATGACGCTATTTTCTGATCGAACAACTTTAAGAACAGGCCCCTGGGACCCAACGCCCTTGCCCTGGATTACTTGCACCTAGAATGGGGCATGTTTAAGGGTACCTCGTCCCCTTTGAAGATATCCCAAGACTTCAGCCGATCTCTGGGTTTGACCTTTGGACCTCCCTTTTTATATAAACGCTCTTTTTCGAAAAATCGGTTTGCAGCCGTTTTCAGTCTTGCTGGAATCCTCATGGCGTATTAAAAAATTTCGATTTAATTGCTTAAAATTGGGGGCTAAAATAAATTATCAAAAGTGCAGGCTTCATATAACAGCTGGGGATTGGCACCGCAAAGCAGGTACTTCCGGTCCACATACGGGCCCTCCAGTTTATCTAGATCATAAACACACAAGATCTCTCACCTGGATAAATAAGGCCGACTTGCTTGAAAAACTTTAAAATTTCCAGCATTTCCTCTTTGGATAGTGGTGGAACCTTGTAAATGTCGAAATTTTTCTCCTCTTCCAAAACAGGGACTATTTGCTCCGATCTGTCAATGGAAACATATGCATCTCGCTTAGGCCGTGAAAATTCTTCAAATGCCATGCTCAACTCTGAATTAAAAATTCTGCTGTCTGTAAAAGAGAGGGCCCCAACGGCAAAAAATCGGTTACATGCCGTTGATTGTTCAAAAAAGTTGCGAATACAAGCAACTACGGGAAGGCTCTTTGCGGTGAGCGGTTTTTCATTAACACTCATGTATTGGGTTTTGCAAAATAAGGCATTCACTTGATCCACGACAACAACAAAGGGAACCCTACATTGAGATTAAAACGGATACTTTTGCTGGCTGCAAAGGAAGCTCAATATGGACTGCAAAATGATGGTAGAGTATGTGGCATCTTTTATCCCAGTTTCGAGCAGTTCAAAAAGCGTTAACTGTTCTAGATCCTCAAGCTTGCAAACAGCTTTCTAAGAGATAAACATGCGGAAACGCGGTTACCATGTTTGCGAATTCAGAGGAGGCGTTTATGTGTTTTCGATTTAAAATAAGGATCGATTTTAGAATATGCTGAGATAGTTCAGGTTGATCATATAGGATGGGTGTGTTTTCTGTAAATGGAGGCGAAACAACCTTCAGCAAATCGATAGATACCGGCCGATACGGATATTTTCCAGTGATGGCATTTATTGCTATGAAAGGGTTAGGCCATAGGTAAACATATACCTTCTGGCATGTATAGGACTACGGCCTTTTCCTCTTCCACAAGCAGATTGACAATTGATAAAAGAAAAACCGACTTTCCTATCCCAGGTTCTCCAGTGAGAAATAAAATGCGTCGAGACAAGGTTTCTTTTGATTCGGAGCAAATCTTTTGGCGAATCCTAGAATACAGAGATTGCATTTCCGCTCTATAAAGTACGACATTGTTCTTAAGAAGATTGAACTGGAACTCATGATGGCAAATGTACCTTTTTAAAAATTGAGACAGGATATCCGGTTTCCTTAAGCATAGACACAAAATGTGGGCTCAATGCTCCAAGCACATTGGGGGTCTCCAGGACTGCAGGCAGCATGGGAATGTCAAGCTTTGGAGGCCCTGTTTTTGTAACTACAACGGGGGGTGTTGGCATTTTGTCTTTATCCTAGTGATAAGAAAAGCAACAAACCGGACTGATAAGCAACGGTGTGCTGGTTGTTGAAAATCTACATAACACCAAAAACCTGCCCAACCAAGGCCTTGAGGCAAATACGGGCAAACAGCTGGGCATCGGAACCGAGATCGAGATCGGGAATTTCATTGTCAATCAAAAAATTTACTATAATTTACTATTACAGACCCTCCATTTTGTCAACTGCAAAAAAGGTGTATGAAAGCGTGATTTCATCCAGGTTTTTCAACGAGTAATGCCCCTCCCTGATATTTGGATCGAGATAAAAATAAACGGGCATATCGACGGTCTCTCCGGCGGCCAATCTTTGCTGCTCAAAGCAGAAACATTGTATTTTTGTGAGGAACGATGCGGCTGCATGTGGTGCCACGCTATATGTTGATACGCCCGTAATGTCTCTTTCCGGAGAGAGGTTTGATGCGGTGAAAAAGGCTAGCGCTGTTTCTCCCGGCCTCACATATACCGATTTTTGGGTTGGGACAAATTTCCAAGGTAATAAAGGCCCAGTGGTTGTCATAAATGTTACTTTGATCGGTTGCATGCCAGAGATTTGGGGATCGATTCTCGGAATAGAGCTTCCATCCACATGTGCAGATCCCTGTCCCGCAGCGCTTCTGGCGAAGAAAGAGAACAGATTGCCAAAAACGTCAAAGTCTTTGGGTCTTGGAACCCCTCCAAGCCCCGTTGCCTGGCATAATAGTTTGTATAATGGAGAGAAGGCGTAAGCAACGCCAAACAGTGCAATTAGCGCCGATATGGAGTAAAGAGCCGGATTCTGCGTGTTGTGTCTTGAATTGGCATAGTTATGCTTTTGCGAAGAGTAGAAACTCCGCAATCTCGCAATGGAGCTTCTCCAGGCCAAATACTTTGGTTTTTGAAGCATTAATAAAATTTTAATCTTTCATGACGCTGGGCCTCCTAATTAGGACAAACATACACTTGTGCCTGTTAAGGCCGGTGTATGGCAGCCGTCTTTTTCCGCTATCTCGTCCCTCGCAACGTAGCGCTTCCATATCAAAGACATCATTTATCGAGAATTACTTGCAACAGGATCTTGATGATTTTAGGGCAAAGTTTGCATCTCTTTTAGGCTCTTCTTCTCATTCCAAGGACTATCCCTTTTCTATTCAATCAGAGGTTGAGGTTGATATTCTTGACGTGATAAATTCAGGTACCCCATCCCACGATGTCTCACCGCTTCAGGAAGCGTTGGAATTGGAATCCTTGATGAAAAGCGCTCTTGGCTGATTTTGGTCCCGCTTTCACTTCCTGGGGAACGGGTTTTGGCAAAAATTACGGCAAATGGGCCGGGCTTATCAACGGCAAGGCTGATGTCCCTAATTTCACGGCCATCTCCGAAAAGAAACAAGCCAAAATGCCTTCATTTTGGGGAATGCAATGGCTGTAATCTGCAGCATCTCCATTACGAGGAGCAGCTTCGTTTGAAGGAGGCATCTGTGAAGGCAATCTTTTCTAAAAGTAAGCTCTTTTGCTAATTCAAAGTTTGCTGCGGAGATAAACCGGTATTTCGGCCCATTCTTCCGTCTCCTCTGCAATATGGATTCCGAAACAAACTAACGCCTCATTATACCAGATCTAACCGTACCCCACCGGGCTTCATATGTAATTTTGCTTTATTTTATGATTGATAGCAAATATTGGGTTCAATGGCGTAGATGGCAAGGTGGTCGATATTAAGTCATGCTCGGTTATCGATCCTTCGATCAACGAAGCTTATCAAAATGTTAGAAAAGCTCTTCATGAGAGATGGCAAAATGTTAACAACCCACCCCAAAATAGCGGGGCCACCTTATTGCTTAGGAGAAAAGTGTCCATTGATTGCAAGCCGGTTCCTATGATTCTGTCCGCAGATGATGTTAGTGAGAAGGCGCAACATGAAAAGGTGTCCATTGTTTTGGGAAACGGTCCAGACATTATTTGTAGCGAAGTCATTGACGGGGTAAAGTTTTCCTACGCTGCCTGCAACTTTTTTCAGACAAATCCAAAGGCCGTCACTGAATGTATCCGCATCTTGAAAAAGGAATTAAGAGAAAATTACTCACATTTGACCCACCTTCTTGACATTTATTGCGGCGTTGGCCTCTTTGCTATACTGCTTCAATCGATTTTTACAAAGATCATTGGAATCGAGTCGGATCAAAGATCTGTTCAATTTGCGCGGCTGAATGCCAAAAATATTCCTGGCGAGGATAGGACCATCTCAAAAACGCTACCGTTGAGGTTTCTTGCCGGAGATGCTGCCTCCTGGCTTTCGAATCCAAAGCTTTTTTCTTTCCTGCCGGCAGACAAAACGGTAGTCATTTTAGACCCACCAAGGGTGGGGTGCACGGACTCCTTGATTAATTGTCTGCTTGAATATCAACCTCAGCTAATTATTTATGTTTCCTGTTACCCTTTGACACAGGCAGCAGACATTTCAAAGCTCCTTTCCTTATATCAGGTTAAATATGTCCAGCCAATGGACTTTTTCCCCCAATCCCACCATGTGGAGAATATGGCCTTTTTAGAAAAAAGGCCATCGGCTCAGTTCTGAGGGCCATCGGCCATTTTGAGGGCCATTTTAATTTATAAATGCAGTGTTTATTTAATCCTCGCCTAAATTGGAAATATTTGGGGTTTACATTTATTCTGATGTGTTCTAATGGACAGCCAATTGTCATCGATAATGGGACCTCTGTAAGTTTCAATATTAATGGATGCATCATGTTTGTAGTGCATAAAAATCGGATATGCTGGGGATAATGTTCCGGCCCACATTATTCCGACCATTGTGGAGACTTTGTCGCCATCGTCGCCGTCTTCAAGGCTACTGGGAGCAGAGGCTTTGAAAAATCAAGACTCAATTTCTCTTTCACATCCAATGGAAGGTGGTGTCGTCAGATCTTGGGATGACATGATTTTATTGTGGGAACACTCTTTAGGTTTGCTTGGCCTCTCTGGCGATAACGATGGGATGAAAATCTTGCATACAGAGTCAACCCTTACCTCCAGCAGGGCCAGGGAAAAAATCCTTGAAGTCAGTCTTGAAACTTTTGCTTTTGGCCATGCCTACATCTCTCTTCAAGGAGTCCTAGCCTTATATTCACAGGGTGCAAACTTAATATTTAACTTTTCTTAGGGAAAAGCACTGGGCTTGTTGTGGACATCGGGGAAGGTGTTACGGACATTTTCCCAGTTGTCGACGGCTATGCCATTCCGCATGCCGCAAGAAGAGTTGATGTCAGTGGCAGAGATATTTCTCGCTACCTAATGAAGCTGCTTTCAACGAGAGGATATTCCTTCAACAAGCCTTCGGATTTGGAATTGGTTCGCATGGCAAAAGAAAAGCTTTGTTATGTGGGGTAAGTGCTCTCAATCGATCTCATCATTAGGTATGATATTTCTCAAGAAAAAAAGCTCGCTGCAGAGACTGTAGTGCTTGAGCAGAAATTTGTTCTTCCTGATGGAAGAAATATTTATCTCGGCCCTGAACGCTTTGAAGCACCTGAGGCCCTTTTTACACCAGATCTTTTGGATGTCGAGACTGGTGGGCTTTCCACTCAAGTATTTGCCAGCATTGCAGCAACAGACGTTGATATTAGGCAGCAGCTTTACGGAAATATCCTCCTCACTGGTGGGTCTTCTCTATTTCCTGGCCTTGTTACTCGACTTGAATCTGAAATTAAGCAGCTATATTTAGAAAAGACTCTGAAGGGCGATGCATCTCGGATGGATCGATTGAAAGCGCTCAAGATTAACGACCCTCCAACTAGACTCTATTCTGTATTTCAAGGCGGCGCTCTTCTTGCGTCCATCATGAAGGATAGGGATGAGTTTTGGATTTCTCGCAAAGAGTGGGAGGAATTTGGACCTTCTATCTTGAAAAAACTGGGTCCCAGATAATAATCCAATAAAAAACAGCACCATCGCCACAAGGATTCGCTTTTTTATTGCAGCGATTAGGCGCGAGAAATTTGATTTTACGGGCAATTGTAGCAACAGCACAGCAATGTCGCTACATACGTTTGCGCAATTGTTGCTCATTTGTACGCTTTTTGATGCAAACTTTTGGTGAAGGGTGGTAAATTTTTACTATTTACTAAATTGGCAACCGCGGCCCGCCTCGTAAGCTATCTACAAGAGTCGAAATTGGAGGGATAGACAGTAATATCCCAACAACTGGCAGGGTCTTAGCAAAGTCGATGATAACAGGAAGAGTATCACTGAGAAGATAAAATGCTCCGACAACTTCAACAATTAGCCCGATGAAAGGCCTGCGAAGGAAGATTACGATCAACATACCAACAAATAGAAAGAGGGATCCCTTTAATTTTCTCTTTTGCAATATAAACATAAGGGTCTTTTGAACCCCAAATAGAACAGTTATTCCTGAAGCATAAACAATCTAAAAGGGTTGAAAAACAAAAAAATACATTCCCAAGCGCTATGAGACCCCTATCAAAAAATAGCAGGACTCCGATGAATATCAGTAGAAACCCAAAAAGAGATAGAAATCCTCCAATCTCTAGATACATAAGAACGAGATTGATTACTTTGTGCTTCTGTCAGTTTAGGGAACATTCCTACCAGATTTTAAATTTAAAAAACTTCATTTTAAAACCTCAATGCATAAGGAATAGCCCTACACAATTAATGAGATTAAAGAATAATTTATATCGTAGCAACGACAAAAAATCACGAGAACTATAGGAATTTTGGTAAACAGCAATAAATACAACAGGCTCGAAGGCTACTCGACCTTTACTTATCGCAGGAATTCGATTACTGCAAAATTAAAAGGATTTTCGTCACCGCTAGCGGTGGCGTGAAGCTAAATACAATAAAAAATGGATCCTCCGTTTCCATCTATTTTGGCCGAGATAACTTTATTAAATATCACAAGTTCTCTATTATTGATATTGGAGTTGTAGATATTTAGTTGACATAAAAGGTTCCGAAAGTTCCGGTCTTTTTGCCTTCTGGCTTAACCTTTGTAATGGGAAGGTCAAATATCCAATTTGGTGCATCTGTATAGGACATATTTTGTTTGCACTGGCAAAATTATTCGTCGATGCAGATTTCAGCCTTTTCGGTCCTCTGACCAGTACATTGAAGAAATCCCGATTTTTATTTCCAAAATATCAATGTATATTTTGAAAATTTGTCTGTAAAATATGGAAGCAACAGTGCAAACCCGACTTGCACTATTTATAAATGCTCGTCATCGCGATGCGGGAGCAAGAACGAATTATAAATTATCGGGCCAATAGGAGCTAATTGATTCTAATGCTCAATAGTGAATAGAAGTGATTTAATTAATTTTGAGTTCTAAATCGGGAATTATCATCTCTGTTGGAGATAAGCATAACTAGGGAATGGAGTCAAAATTATCTGCAATGCTTCAAGACCAAGAAGAAACCTCAAGAAACTTGCTAGCTGCTGAATCGGAAGTGAAAAGGCAGAGGGCCTTGGTGAGTTACGCGGCAGCAGGAAGCGAGGGATTTTTACAAGCCAAAAAACACGAAGCAAAGATTGTCTTGCAATCGTTGTTTGGAGACGCACAACCGGATATGCCCGTCTGGGCATTGAGGATGCAGCAGAGTTTAGCAGCTGTACAAGAAACATTAATAGTGATGCAACAAGCGATTCTACAACTAGGTGAGCAAATCACTTCTCTCAGTGCTGCAGTCAGAAGAATCGATTCTAGACTGATTAGGATCGAGAATCGCTATTCATTTACAAATACCAACGAGCGCTTTCTGCAGGAAATTTGCAATTCTTCAGGAGTATTTCCTTCTTCTGCCGATCTTCCAACGCTTGTTAATGCTGCTGATCTCGAGGCCTTGCCTAGCGACGCGACAAAAGATTATTTACGCTTCTATGGTCTCCGGGTTCTCGCTTCTGCTGAAAAGAATAAGTCTACGCTCAAAACGCATCTTGGAGTCCCTCAAGCACCTTAGCCTTCCAACATGCCAATAAAGAATGTTTTGTATTGCACTAACATTTCGAATACATAAGGGTGGCTCTTTATTTTCGAGTACATCAATTTCCATTTATTAGTTTGGAAACGGCACCCTTGACTGTGCGTGGTCGGTGGCCAGCATTCAATGGCAACCACAACCTTTTAAAGTAAAGTAAGCAAACACTCTGAAAAATCGATTGCATACGAAAAAACGCCACATCGAAGTAAAGATAGATATTTGACGTGAGGCTCGCCTAATTGGATCCCATAAATGGTGGAGTAACGTATTTCGATCTAATCATTTATTTTACATCTAAAATTTTCCATTGATGTTTGCAAAATCTGCATCAGAGTTACCGACATACTCTTCATCATTATATAACAGGATATTTGGAGCAAGAAGAGAAAATTCTAGGTCTTCCTTCGTAATGGAGTCCCAATATTTGTAAACCATCATTACCGATAGAAGGATAAGAGTATTTGCGAAAAACAACCCATCCATATAATGGACCGACAGCTTACAAATGAGCGGGGATAGAAACCAGAAAATTGCCTGAGCAAGCAAGAAAAATAGAATACCAAAAAAGATATCACCTGCAAATAAGGCGAGACAGCATACCTAGTGGCCATCGGTCATCCATGGTCCTTAATACGAGAACAATTTGGATGATAACATATATCAGTAAACAGGCAAGATTAAATATGAAGAATATAATAAAAAGAAGAAGCGAAAATCTCTGAGAAAGGCCAAAGCTGTTAGTGAACGTTCCAAAGGCCACAACAGCGGAAACGGCCATGACACCTAGAGAGCTTAGTCGAATACCCTAAATGCTATATACGATCGGCCAATACCCAAAGCGATGCAAACGTCCCATCTTCAGCCCATTGATATGCAACAAGCCCATTCAACAGAAGCGACCAGAAACATGCGCAAACCAACGCCACATAAAGGGCAGCAAGATACTAAAAGATAGCGAGCATATTTCCGAACTGGATAGACAAAAGATGTTGTCCCAATAATATTGGTCCCCAATAACATGTCAACTATAAGGGAAAGCATGTAAAAGTAGAAAAAAATAACGATCTCCTTTCTTCCCACGGCAATATATTTTCTTTTCACATTGTATATCATAATCATTGTCATGAAGATGGAAATGATGTCAATAATCAAAACGGCTACTTTTAGATGGATAAAATACCTGGCTGGAATAGCAAAAATCCGCCAATGTCGACATTTCTTGAGTAGCATTTGGGTTCTGGGAGATTCAGAGATGGGCAGACATTCAAGCATGACTGAAGACAGATCCAGGAAAACTCGCCAAATAGAAGGAAATTCGAACCTGAAGCTGGCTGAGCTGTCATGTATTTTAATGATCCAATTCTAAATAAATGTTCGCAAAAAAAGACCTACGATGTTATGATCAGGCAATTCAATAAAGCTTTCAAACATCAAATTATAGATCAGCTTTTAATTTTTAATATTTAACCCCGTCGATGGAATACCCAAACACGAAATTTTCTTTAAAGTAGGTTGCCTGCTTGCAATAAATTGTTTTGATGCGCCTGCCATTTCATGTTTTAATCCCTAGAGGTTTGGTAAATGCCATCAAGAAAACGTATCGCTACGAAGTGTCACCCCTCTTTTTCCTCGCTGCAGGAGTTACTATTCTTGCCGGTATACGCCTTGGAACTCTTCCGTTTATGAATGATGTCAAAGAAACCCGTCCAGAAAGGACAGAATCACATTTTCTCAACGCTCTTCGTAAACAAGAACAGGCGTGTCAATCAACAGAAGGCACTGAGCATAGCTAGGCGCTTTAATTCGGCAATAGATTTTTAAGCTTAAATTTAAATTTTACTTTTTTTATTTGATGAAGGGAAGTACCAACTCCAAGTTTCATCTACAGCGGGTTAAGCGGAAGATTACCGAGTTTTCCGCTTGCTCGATGAAAGACATATATGAGGAATTAAATAATGGTGCGCTGTCAGGTTTAATTTCCACTAAAAGTAACTCTGATAGGCGAGCCAACCAATCAAAGAGAAAGGAAAAAATACTTGCAGCAAAAGCTCGAGTCATTAGGTGCAAAGGTAGGCGTTTTGAAACGATAACCCGTTTATTATAGCCACAACCGAACGCGAAAACCCCTTTTCGTATTTTGAAAGGAATCAGAGCAAAGCAGGCCAAAAGAACAGCCAGGCAAGCAGAATTGGTATTGTTGCTTTTCATTTTCATTTATAGAAACGGCAAGGCGGGTTTGAAATTGGATCTACTTTGAGCGGCTCGGCCTTATCATACAAGGCAATTGGAAATACCAAGTCTCCCAAATTAACAGCAACCAAACGGAGGAGTGTTAATAAAAAATAATTAAAGTGCATACTTTATTTGTTGCTATCCATAGTCCTATTTAGAGCCCTATCCAGGTTTGTATTTAAAGGAATGGCCGATGCACTCCCATCATTAAAGAAGCCTAGTACACGCATTGAAAAACGGGCTAAATTTGAACCATTTTGCGCCGTGGATGCTGGGAAAAAGCTCGAAGGTCGCCCCGACATCGGACATCAACATATCTCACAAGACAAATCTGAAGGCCAATATGCTAGCTATGCTTCAAAGGATACTTTTCCGGGCCCTTTGCACACAAAAGACCATTTAACACGCCCAAAAGAAGAGCCTGCGCGTGGATGTGAAAGTAACCACCAATCCACGTCTGAAAATGCAACGAAACGTAAAAGAGAGGCGGTTTCGGCAGCTTCCCAAACTTTATCAGAGATTTCAGATCACTACAATAGCCTTCCAGAGCTTGGAAAGTTTGCCAGAAATGAATCCCGAATTTTTCATGTGCGTCAGTACAACAATTGGGTCAAAAGCGTGATGATTAAACAGGCAGCATCGATTTTTTCGACGCAAAAGGTATTTTCCACACCTATTGATGTTTTAGAAACTTTCCGTGCTGGATCTTTGTTGTGGAAAAGGAGGCGATTTAAAAAAGTGGGAACGGGTCCGTCCGTCACATTATTTGGGGATAGACATTGCGGAGGCTAGCATTGCAGATGCCAAAGTAAGGTTCTGTTCCAGTAAAGCAAGGATGAATGCATATTTTGATGTGGCTGATTGTTTTCATTCGCCCTTGCATATCAAAGCAGATGGCTCTGGGGCGATTCACGATCCTTCAGAACAATCTATGGCTCCGTTTTCATTTGATATTATTTCTTGCATGTTTTCGTTTCACTATGCTTTTGAAAACGAAAGTTCTGTAAAGATGTCGTTGGAAAATGTTGCTAGGCATCTGAAGCCTGGCGGGATATTTATCATCACCATTCCAAAGGCTTCAATTATAGAGCAACTGAGAGATAAAGCAATCTCTACCAAGTCTTTTCCTCACATTACTGGAAATTCTTTATTTGAAGTCGAGTTTGATAAACACGAACTTGTAAACCGCGCCACAGATGGTGACTTTTCCACCATAAAGTACTACTTTTCTCTTAAAGAGGCCGTAAAAAGATGCCCAGAGTTCTCTGTCCCCATGGAGGTACTTTTTCCAATGGCAGCCTCAAATGGCCTAATCTKCGAATCTGAGATGGATTTCCTAAAGTTCTTTGATGATTATAGGGACAATCCGGAATATCTTGGTCTTTTGAACCGCTTTCGACTGTTAGAAAGGAAAACTGGTGATTTGTGCTTGTCTACAGAGGAGCTGGAGACCGTCGGTAGGTAGACATTTAGCTATCTTTGTAGGCTTATATTCGGCGTTGGCTTTTATTAAGAAAAGTTAAGCGTGCAGCTTTCTAAGGCATTTTTTTAATTAGTAAATAAATTGAGGAGCCAACTGTCAATGCCCTCCAATGTTTAGGATCGCCCTTGAGTTTCATCAAGAGACCTCCGAACGAAACAAAAATGGACATGTGGCCTGAATTCGGGGATGCCTCTTCGGCCTTATAAATTTTGCCATACATTACGTAATCAAACTTATCTGCAAGCGACGTGCCAAGTCGAGTTCGAGCTGATGGTGGGAGCGAAAGCTCTGGATCGTAAAATCCCTCTGGAAGAATGGCTGCTTGGTTGGCTGACGCCAGCTTGTGATCCACAGCCCTGGGTGTCAAGGACGAGGAAAGGACGAGATGAAAACGATCCTTTTGGTTAAGGACATACAGTTCAGAGGCTACATCAAGAGAGAGGGAGAGTGCATAGTTTTCACTGTCACAAATTATGCGGGAAACCCTGTCGAATTTCTTTCCCTCTGGGTCTACTTGTTTGACGACAAAAACCTCATCGCACAAATAGTCCATAAAAATAAAATCTTGGCAAAGCTACGAATTGTAAATTATTTGAGATTTTAATTTAAATGGCTCTGCCGAGAGCACCTGGCACCTCTGCATTACCAATCTTATCATTTCCCCCCACACCTGGCCCGTCGAATGCCAAGCCGGAATGCAATCCGAGGACTTCAAGTGACGGCATTTATCTGTTATCCAATCAGGATAAGCAATTGATCTCTGATTTGAAAGAATGCATCAATGTCAAAATGTATGATACCGAGTGTAAAGAGAGCATATTGAACAAGCGAAAGCAAATTGGAGATGGTATCATTGCGTTTCTAACATCGAAATTCTCGACGCTGTTTTGCCCCCTACCGATAACATCCACGGCATCCATTTTCGGTGTTTCCACCGATCCATGCAAAGGTTTTGAAGAATGTTTTCAGGAGCGGTTTATTTTATTTGATCTTTTGATATTTATGGTTCGGACGGGGCATCAGTATGCTGCTTCCATTAGAGAAGATTCCGTTTCTTCTGATCCATTGAGCATAATTGACCTTGAAGGTAAAGACTCTGAGAACTCGTGGAGGACAATGTTTATTTTGCTTCTGTTTGATTTGTTTTTTGAGGACGAGGAGACAGATATGGACAAAGCCCATGTTGGGACCAATTCACAAACAAAGTCCGTTCTCGTGCAAATGCTAAAAAGATTGTCTTGCGTTGAAGATGCTCTTTTGAAAGATGATCTCCCTTCAAATCTGGCGCCATCTGCCGATGCAAATATAAAATCTTCGCTAAACATTGAGCGTCTATATTTGGTGGAACTGATTTTCCATTGTTGCTCCAAGTTCATTCCTCTTAACATGAGCGAATGGGATACGTTGCTTTCCACGATATCGACATCTATTTCCAACATAACGGAAGAAAATCCGTTTGTCCGCGGGCTATTTCTGTTCTCGATCGTCAATGGGCTTGCTTTTCATTCTCCATATAAACCGATGTATGATTWGGTTCGTAGCCGTCTTCCCCACAGGCAAGACTACTTTTCTTCTAAACAACTTTGGGAATCTTGGCTCCGCAAAATGGAGGACTGGATTTCGACACACCTTTGGGCAGATGTGCTGTTCAAGCACTGCTTTTCACTTGGGTTTGCACTGTTTTTAAGAATGTCAAGAGAAGTTAGGACGCTAAAAGGAGGCCTTTCGCCGTCTTTAAARGAGACTTCTTCCTACATGGGAGCCATTGATTCCGAAAGCAGCGTTCCAGACTCTTTTGCCATCGAAGGCATTCAGGGAGAAAAGAGTCTTTTGTCGCCCAAAACACCGAGATCTCTCTTTGTAATGCTGACCGAAAAATTTCTTCCCTCTACCTTGGATATTTCTGGGGTTTCACCATGGGGATATGATTCGCAAATATCAGAGTCTGCGGTTGTCGTTTCAAAATGGGAAGGCTATGTTTGCGAATCGCTAATGCTTCTTTCCACTTCTATCCTCACGTGGGGCTCCTTTGATTGGATTAGAGGAGGAAAACAACAGAATCAGACCGTCAATGTCTTAGCTTCATTTTGCGACATGATTGGGGCTATTTTTTCCTACTCTGCACTTCCGATTTATTCGCCTGCCGACAGAAGAAAACCATTTCTTGACATCGATGCTTCCGTGGAGTCATTTTGGGAATCTGAAAAGGCAACTTTTTTCATCAGATCTACTCTCTCCTCAGTTGGATCCTCTTCACCCGAGCTTTCATCTTCCGCTTTAAGGATGTTGATTGGGCTAGCACACGGACCGATATCTTCCATCTATGCGTTTGATCTTCTTCAAAGGACATCGGAGTACTCCTCCTCTGTGCTCACATGGAACAACCTGTTTTCTGCTTTAGAGAGGTACCATGTGACGCTGGCTCTGGAATCAGGTATGAAACATGATTTTCTCAAAACATAGGTGATCTATCTCCCTCCGAGACTGCAGCAATTGAGCTGATGTTTGCTCTTCTTCAAACCATTTGCAAGTATCAGCCAAGCTGTATAACCAAGTTATTGGTCGGTGACATTTCTGACACTGCGTCTCCATTTCTTTTCACGTTGTTTGGCATCATCTCTTCACACGTTCCCACCACCATTAAGGCACAGATTCTGATCTTATTGAGTGAATGGATGCGGTCTGCCACGGAAGGACCATCAAATGCCTCGCTTTTATGGGCCCATTTGGAAGCATCACAAATAATTCCAACACTTGCAATGGATTCCATGACCACCTCCTCCAATTCCATTGAGGAGGATCTTGCCAGTCCGTTGCCCGTCACACTTGGAGGCATTCTTCAAGAGTTTTACCAAATCGAGGCACCTGTGGGAACTTATCCCGTTACGTACTCGCTTTTGCATCTTATTTCCTGCCTTGTTGGCCAGCGAAAGATCGATTCAAGCCTGGTCCTTTCACTTTCTTCTTCACTTGGTGTTGGATCGAGAAAATTTCCTGGATTGTGGCCTTACATTAAATTCGTTCTCAGTGGTGCTCTGATTCCGATTTGTACCGGTCCTTCTTTCCGGCTTTCATTTTTGTACGCCGATGAAAAAATGGCAATGGTCGGCAAATGCGTCTCCATTATAACGGATATTTTGGAGTTGAACGTGATCCCGAGCTTCTATTCCATCCTCAATGCTACGGGGCTTTTGAGTATCTTCTTTGCAATCGGCACAATCCATGGAGAGGTCCTTGGCTTGCCCTCCTTAGATATCTGGTCTACACCCTCGATTGAGGAATCACTGAAGCCGCTGATTATTGCTGACTGCCAAAGACATCCCGACATGGTTTCTCTCGACATGCTGCAATTTCTGTTTACCCAGTTAAAGGCCTCGAAATCTCGGTCTTCAACCCCCACCACGGCCCAGCTAAGCTATTCAGAGGAGACTATAATAATTGTTCGGCCGCACTTTCTTTCCATTCTGGCCCAAATCATATCCACTAACAAAACGCTTGATTTGGTTTTGGTTTCCATCGATCTACTGAGAGAGCTTTTGCTTGTTCCAAAAGTGGAGTCCATCTTGCGGTCTGTATTGGGAAGTGAAGGAATGGAAAAATTTTCGATGGGCATTGCTCGCTGGTTTGGCGATATCCTTCTAATTGAAGATGATACCGAAACGGGTTCTCAAGTCACTACTAAGGTCAGCATCATTCGGGAAAACATCCTTTTACTGCTGGCATCCCAAATTGAGGATATACCTGTCCTTTCAACGCAGCGGGCCGTGTCTCCGATTCAAATTAACATTAACACGACAGCCCTATTGCTGGGATTACATCGACCAGAAGAAGAGACTACTTTGTTGCTTATACGGCTAGTTTCTAGTCTTCTTCAAGGCGACTTTTCATCTTCCTCGCTGTTACACGCAATTTGTAAATCTTGGGGCAAATCGGAGATGCTTAGAAATGCAGGCGGTGATCCCCACTTGATTTTACAGGCAATCGATAAAGCGTTTGCAAGCGACCATGGATCTCTTCCCTTATTGTTGACCAAAATAAGCGATGCTCTTCATCTTGTTGCATGGATGGTAAGGGACCCTCATGGAGAAACCGATCCACTTTTTCGATCTGGAGATACGCTTCACAATATCCTATCACAGTTACTATCCATTGTGCCGGCAAATAACCTGATTTCGCTGACCACGGCAAACGAGGGCTCAAGACCGGCCGCCGATTCGAAGCGTCAACAAATACACGATTTTTTGCAAGGCCATTCAAACGCATTGGCTGGGATTTCCTTGCTTCTTCCAGAGCCTACAAGCGCAATTTCTGAGCTTATTGTGGATGCGCTTGTTGAGAGGGGAACCAGTTGGAGCATTAGCATCGTTGATACTCTTGCCGATATTTTGTCTCGTTGTGACTTCAATGATTGCTGTAACGGCAATTTCTTTAAGCTTTGTTCCCTATTTCCCTCGATTGCCCCCAGAAGCACGTCTGATTTTGCCGTGGGCCGCATATTTACGGCTTTGAATCTCGCCTTGTTCAAAGAATCTATTTCTTTGTCATTGCCATCAAGTGCCATTGATGGCCTTTCTCATGCAATATCGGAAAATTTTTCATCCAACAACTATATTGAAGCATGTCGGCTTGCTTGCACTATTTTGCTGGACTCTAGAAATATACCGGCCGTGGAGCAAATCTCAACATCATTGCGGCGCTTGTTGTCTGTGCCTTCCAAACTGGAGGAGTTGATCCGTGAGTCTTTGTTCCGGTCGGAAAAAAAAGACGAAACTGTGTTCATTGAGTTCATATGTTGTCTTTTTTCGGTGTTCAAGGATGACCCTCAAGTGCTGACGTGTATGGTCCAACTGCTAGCAAGTTCTGGATATCCATCGCACATTCATGATTTATTCAAGAATTCGCCCACTTGCTTGCAATTTATTCCGCTGCTTGAGGTTGCTTCCTACATGATCGAGTTCTCCTCTCTGGCTGGCGCTTCTGTGTCCACCACATTAAGATCTTGCATCGGACAGCTTCTCTCTGTTCCTCTTGAAAGACAACCGGATAAGGAAACATATTCCCTAATCATATCACTTCGAATGGCCACCAACATAGTCAAGGGCATCTCCATGCTGCCTCAAAGCTCTGCTGCGGACTTGAAAATGATTTCCTCTCTTCACGAAAAGGCGATAAATATCCTGCTATGGTTTTCTGCGCAATCTTCATCGTTAACGCTGCAGGTGATAAATCGGGAGGAAATTGATGCTCGTGTCAATATCCTTGATTTGTTGGTTGTTTTGGTCAGCTATTTTCTTTCCGCTCACAGGATCTTTACGCTCAATGATTCCTTTTCGGAGCTCCTTTCAGAGGGCGGTGGTAAGTTGCAAGTGCATAACATTTTGATAGGTGCCCTGTTTAGGCCATCCCTGGATTCCGGTCTTGCAGGCAATAAGCGAGCGCCAGGTAAATTATGGCGAATGTTACCAACCAATAACATCTAGGCCTTGGAACATTGTTTTCTTTGATAGACATATTCTATGCAAATATCACCACGGCCCCCAATGCCATCTGCGGCATGGAACAGGTTCTGATGATCATTTGGTTTACCCTCGGTTCGCTATATAGCTACTCGAGCGCCATTCCTGCTTCGTTCTTCAGCGATTTACACGAGACTTTGTCCCCAAAGTTATACTCGATACTTTCAATAAGCAAGGAAAGGGGGCTGATATCATCATCGCTCCAATATTCCACAAGTCTTGCAAATGAAATTAAACAGCAATTTCTGTGCAAATATTGAGTCGAAAATAAACTTTTAAAATGATCGATGGATGGACTGGACTGGACTGGACTGGACTGGACTGGACTGGA